GGAAATTGAGTTATGGAACCTTGAAATGAAGGAGGAAAACATAGCTGCCTACACTACATGATTCCATGAGTTAGCTAATTTAGTGCCACATTTGGTGACACCTGAAGAGGTTCGAATAGAAAGGTATATATAGGGCTTATCTGCAGAAACCCGAAGAAATATTACCTCGGCAAACCCAAGGACCCTTAAGAAGGCAATAGATATTGCAACCAAACTCACCAATAATGCAATTTGGTCTGGAGAGTTCAACAAAGGAAAAAAAAAGGTGGGAGAACTGAGAAACCAGAGATTTGGGAATAGGTTCAGCAAGAATAAGAGATCGGTAGGGAACTTTGGAGTCCAGACTCAGGTGGTGAATCAAGAAAACAAGCCTAAGTGAAATAAATGTAAATTTCCACATTGGGGAAATTGCATTACTTGTCAGAGGTGCCACAAAGGGGGTCATTCCATAAAAGATTGTCGAAAGCGATTATGTTTTGAATGTGGGAGCCCGGATCATATGAGAAATGTATGTCCGAAGAGAAAGCAAGGAATGAATGTTAATCAAACCCGACCAGCCAACCAAGGAAACTCTGAAAGTCAAGCACGTGGCCGAGCATTTGAAATTGGAGCAAGGGAGGCCAGGCATGATCCTAATGTGGTTACAGTTACATTTCTCTTAGATAATGAATTTGCATCAGTACTATTTGACTCAGGAGCTGATAGAAGTTTTGTATCCCTAGACTTTAGACCAAAGATCAATTTAAAATCTCAAAGGATGAAGAAAGACTATATAATGGAGTTTGCCAATGGCCAAGAAATTAAGACCAGAGATATAATCATGGGCTGCACTTTAAGCTTAACACAGAAGGATTTTAGCATAGATCTTATTCCGATTAAGTTAGGAAGTTTTGATATAGTTATAGGCATGGATTGGTTATCTAAAAACCGAGCTGAAATAGTTTGTTCGGAAAAGATTATCCGAATTCCTCAAGAAAAAGGAGAAGCACTTATAATTCAAGGAGAGGAGCCTGATCAGAAAATTAAGATCGTATCATGCATAAAGATGCAGAAATACTTAAAGAAGAACTATGATGCATTTTTGGCACATATTGTAGATAGGAAGGTTAAAGGAAGAAGTATCGAAGACTTCCCTATAGTACGGGAGTTTCCTGAAGTATTTCCCGAGGATCTACTAGGATTACCCCCACCAAGACAAGTCGAGTTCGTTATCGATTTAATTCCGGGAGTAGCCCCAGTGGCCAAGGCACCATACCGATTGGCCCCATCGGAGATGCAAGAGATGTCAGGGCAACTCCAGGAATTGCTAGATAAAGGATTCATAAAACCTAGTTTTTCACCATGGAGTGCACCAGTTTTGTTCGTCAAGAAGAAAGATGGATCGATGCGGATGTGTATTGACTATATGGAGCTTAATAAGTTGACTATAAAGAATCGATATCCTCTTCCTAGGATCGATGACTTATTTGATCAACTTCAAGGTGCTGTGTACTTTTCAAAGGTTGACCTTCGATCCGAATATCATCAAGTGAGAATTCGAGAGGAGGACATTCCTAAAACGACATTTAGGACTCGGTATGGCCATTATGAATTTTTGGGTATGCCATTCGGATTAACCAATGCCCCGGCTGTTTTCATGGATTTAATGAATAGGGTTTGCAGACCATACTTGGATAAATTTGTAATTGTCTTCATAGATGATATACTAATTTATTCAAAAAGTAAGAAAGATCATGAGCAACATCTAAGATTGATACTAGAGCTACTTAAGGACCAGAAATTGTATCCAAATGTGAATTCTGGATTCGTGAAGTACAATTTCTTGGTCATGTGGTCAATGAAAAAGGAATTCATGTAGACCCTGCAAAGATTGAGGCCATTAAGAAATGGGAAACTCCGAACACCCCGACAGAAATACATCAATTTCTTGGTTTGGCAGGCTATTATCGGTGATTCATTGCGAATTTTTTAAAGATTACGCAACCACTCACGACCTTAACACACAAAGGCAAGAAATTTGTTTGGGGAGAAAAGAAAGAAGAGACCTTTGAAACTCTTAAGCATAGACTGTGCAATGCACCAATTTTGTCATTACCAGAAGGTTCAGAAAACTTTGTGGTATACTGCAATGCATCACATCAAGGATTAGGATGTGTGCTTATGCAAAAAGATAAACTCATTGCATATGCCTCGAGACAACTCAAAGTGCATGAGAAGAATTATACTACACATGATCTAGAATTAGAAGCTGTGATATTTGCACTTAAGATTTGGAGGCATTACCTATACGGTACCAAATGCACTGTGTTCACTGATCACAAAAGTCTGCAACACATCTTCAATTAGAAAATGTTAAATATGAGGAAAAGAAGATGGATTGAAATGCTCAGTGATTATGATTGTGAAATCAAGTACCATCCAGGCAAGGCTAACGTAGTAGCTGATGCTTTGAGCAAAAAGGAAAAAGTGAAGCCAACAAGGGTACGAGCTTCGGGAGCAATAGTAACCACGAGTCTGAAAGCACAAAATATCCAAGATCAAAAAAAGGCATTGAAAGAAGAAATTTGAAAAATGAGACCCTACACCACATGGAAACTAAATTTAAATTAAAGGTTGATGGAGTAAATTATCTGGGAAACAAGGTTTGGATTCCTAAGATAAGCAATCTTAGATCCATAATTATGAATGAAGTCCATCGATCAAAGTATTCGGTTCACCCTGGAGTGAATAAGATGTATAAGGAATTGAGGGAACACTATTGGTGCCCTGAATGAAGAAAGACATTGCTATGTATGTGAATAAATGCTTAACCTGCACAATGGTCAAGGCTGAACACCAAAAACCATCTGGTCTACTCCAACAACCTGAGATTCCTCAGTGGAAGTGGGAACAAATATCAATGGATTTCATAACTAAGATGCCCAGGACTGGGAAAGGGCATGATGCAATCTGGGTAATTGTGGATCGACTGACGAAATCTGCTCATTTTCTGCCGATTCGGGAAGATTATAAGATGGAGAAGCTGGCTCAAATTTACATAAATGAAATCATTACTCGACATGGGGTACCTCTTTCCGTCATATCAGATAGAGATAGTCGATTTACATCAAGATTTTGGCAATCACTTCAAGAGGGGCTGGGTACACGTCTGGATTTAAGTACATCGTATCACCCTCAAACGGATGGGCAGATGGAAAGAACCATCCTGACATTGAAGACATGTTACGTGTGCGCGCCATAGACTTTGGTGGAAGCTGGGATACGCACCTTCCGTTAGTTGAATTTGCATACAATAACAGCTATCATGCCAGTATTCAGTGTGCGCCATATGAAGCGTTATATGGACGTAAATGTAGATCGCCACTTAATTGATTAGAAGTCGGTGATTGACAATTAATTAGACCCGATGTAGTTCAGGAAACTACTAACAAGATTGTAATTATCAAAGATAGACTCAAGGCCGCAAGAGATCGTCAGAAAAGTTATGCGGACAATCGAAGGAGACCATTGGAATTCCAAAAGGGAGATAAAGTACTTTTGAAAGTCTCACCTTGGAAAGGAATAATGCGTTTTGGGAAAAGAGGCAAATTGGGTCCCTGATATATTGGTCCATTTGAAATAACTGAAAGAGTTGGACCAGTGGCATACAAGTTGGATTTGCCACAAGAATTAAGCACCATTCATGATACATTTCATGTATCAAATCTCAAAAAGTGTTTAACTGATGAAATTTTTCTGGCATGGGAAGACTGTGACATTCATCATTTTCGGAGCATCAGGTTAGTATCTTAAGAGAGTTCTTATATTTAGAATTATAATTTATTAGGATCTAGTCGTTGGAAATCAATTGACTTAG